TCCACGCCGCCCCCGCCCCCTTGCCCCCAGCAGCTCTTTCAACAGGAACACATGCTTGGCACCTGCCACACATGCCCACTCACTGCCCCACTGCCCGGCAGAGCGGCCACCAGCTCTGGCTGGCCTCCATGCCTGTGTTCCAGAAAGTTCATTCCTCTGTTCTGTCTCATGACTGCAGGGCAGCTCTGGACGAGCCAGCCAGCACAGTTCTCTGCCATCCACTGGGTGCAACTCTGCCTTCCCCAATGGGGTGTGAGCCCCAGAGAGTTCTCGTATCCTATCATTACTTTTATCACAGCCTAACTATTCTTTATACTACACTTCCCCTGTTTAGAGCGCCTGGGTGTCTATCTCATGATTGGCTCCTGGCAACGAGCCCATCCTTAGGTCACCTAGGAGCTTTCCAAAAGTCACCTCATTAACAACAAAGACAGTTTCTCTTTTAATCACTTAGGAGATTCCAAAGGTTTTAGCAGCTCTGAACCAGGAACGGGACAAAGAACAAAGACTGTATTTCTTATTATAAATCATAATATCACAGCTCATTATTTCAGTTATTAAGTTATGCCATTCATTTTAATATGTCTAGTTTATCACTTTTATACCACCTCTTATCTGAGTAATATGACAAGTGTTTTCACTTATTTCTTGATAGATATTGATTATGCTTATTTTAAATGACTAGTCAGTCCTTTCTAACGATTCTGCATTAGTTGATGTTTATTTCTGGCCCTGTGACCCTGTGGTGATGTAGGTACCCACTCAGCCCTAGCCTTATCTCATCTGTGAGCGCCTCCTCTTTGGGGGTGTCGGGCCTAACTCTGCCAGGCCCTGCTCTGCGTCCCACCTAGTGAGACAAAGTAAGGGCAGAGGATGACCCCGACAAGAAGCACCCCTGACCCCAGAGACCCAGGAATGAAGATGACAGTCACCCATCAGGTGTCAGGGAAAAACAGCCCAGAGGGAGGCTGTTGGTGGAAATACAACCCTGGGCACAAGGGTGGGCCAAGGATGAGCAGAGGATGTCTGGGAAGGCTCTGAGGTCACATGTGTTCTGATTTCTGTGGCATGGGAGCAGGTCCCCGCTGTCCAACATAAAATAAGATCATTCTGTTATGAGATACAAAGGTCATTCCAAAATCTTATCTGGACACAGACAAACATGGTCACGCTGAGGACCACAAAAATGAAAACATGCCCCTCTCCTGGAACACCTGCCACTCCTTTACAGATACAGCTTGCCTTGTCCCATCTATCTCTCTGTGACAACATTTATTAAGGTAACTCAGTTATAGAATTGCCTCGGCTTCTCAACAGGATTCTGTGCAGCATAGATATCCACTCTTGAAACTTCCCCCAAAATCACCGAACACAAGGCCAAATCCCCCCAAAATCCCTCCCGATAACCTGTTCCTGAGGAATCACATGGTTCGCCATTGTATGCAATATCCTTATATAGTAAGTATGAAATTTATAAAAACTAAAAGGAAGCAAACCAACTTCATTTGGCTTTGGGCATGTTCCTGGCGGTCTTTGCCTGGAGGGCACTGCCATTCCCCGTTTACTGTCATCACTCACTCACAGCATCCCCATGGGAAAGAGAATGGGGCTCAAAATCTTATTTTATGGGTGTAAAAACTGAGGCTCAGTCAGGACAGAGGACTTGTCTACACTCACAGTTATGAGCCCAAAGCAAGTCTTCTGGTTCTAAATGTCCTCCCAGGAGGGGCCACCCAAGAACACTGCTTCCCAAGAAGACCATTGAGCGGTCACCCTGGAAGCCATGAGGGCCCCGGCATGGTGGGCTGCTGCACGCTGAGTGTGGACCAGAAAGGGCACTCCATGGCACAAGCAAGGCAGTGGGGTCCTCGTTCACCAGTGAGGAAACTGTTGGAGAAAGAACTTGGCCAAGGACCCACAGCTGGGAAGTAGCAGAGCTGGGATTCCAGCCCCAGTGAGAGGAAAGGGGGTGCAGAGGGCCAGGCAGTCCTTCTACAGGTCAGAGAGGCAGCGTCTCTGAAACCCCTGGAGGTGAGGTGGATTTTGGTGGAGGTACCAAGTAGAGGCAATCCTGGGAAGCGTCTAAATTCCAGAAGAAATGCACACAGTGGCCTTATCTGTGATGTGGAGTAAAGAGTGGGTAATCAAGGATTGGTGCATGTGGCGAGGGGTCTTCCATGATGGGAAAGGTCTGAAGGCGACTCTAGGGAGCAGAAGGGGCTCAGAGGTGGGGCATACCCGGAGCAGTGGCTCATCGCTTCCCAGCCCAGTTCCAGGAAATGTCAGGGTCTGGAGGGCAGCTTCCTGACCTCTGGACTAAGTGTTCAATAAAAACAAGCTCTGTGATCAAAGGCAGCACCTCCAACAGGATTCAGTTACCTTATTTCACCTCCTGCCACTTAGGAGCAGGAGCCATAGGAAGATTTGGCTGCTAAAGAGTAGGCAAGAGGGATGAACAGGTTGCCTGCAGCCGTTTTTAGGTGCTGGATCTCCTGGTGTCTGTCAGATGCTTTAGGCATGTGGTTTTCTACCATCCTGGGCATTTTTTAGGTACAGGGACATGTCAGCAGAAAGTAAGGAAACCAGGCCCTTGACAAGCCAAGGGGAGTCTAGTTGGAAGGGATCTAGAGGGAATCTCATCCATCCACATTCCTCCTGGTGTTTGGAGGGCTCTAGAACACCCCATTGTGCCTCATAAAATTGTTCTTCCATTCCATCTAGATTGTCTCTCTTGACCACTATCACATGGTTCAGGCCATTGACTCACAAGATAGCCATTATCCCTGGTGAGATTATTTGCCCTTTATTTCCTATCTCAGTTGAATGGCACCCAAATATTCATGTCAGAAATTTATGAGTCTATAAAAATGCTTCTTCTTGTTTACCATTTACACCCAACCAATTCCCAAGTTCCCTCAAATGCACCTTGCACATGATTTCAAATGTGCCCACCTTCTCGATCCAGCTGCCATCATCCTAATTCTGGCCACCATCATCTGCTGCTTAAATGATAGCCAGTACCAACTTGCATGTTGGATGTTTTTTTTTTCATACCTGTTCCCCTCCAATCCTTCTCCACATTGTAGATGGAACAAGCTTTGAAAATTCAAATCTGATCATCTCTCCTCTTATGAAATTCCTCTAATGACCATTCGGAGGAGGTCCACCGTCTTATAGAAGTTATAATCCCATTGCCAATCTCACCACTTGGCTCTCACACTGTAAGCCCAGTCAGACCGAAGAGTGTTATCATTGGGAACCTGGTCTCCTTTGTCTCATTTTCAAGCCAATGTGCAGACTATTCACAGTGTGAAACATGGACAAAGCTCTGAAGAAGATAAGAATAATCTTTATAACACTTGAAACTTCCTTGAGAGTCCCTCTGGGAAGTTTTTAAAAATAATAATTTTAGTCTCACATATGAGTGGAAAAAATTAGTAAAGAAGAGGTCTTATGGTACCCTTCATTCATTATTCAGCAATGATAGGATCTGACATATCACAGTGCAAGTACCAAACAAAGAAATTGACACAGGAACAATACAACAATAAGATACACATCTTATTTGGATTTAACCATTATTTACCTTTATGCTTTTTTTTTTCTTGGTGGATAGTCCTATGAAATTTTCTTCACAATCATAGGTTTGTGTAACCACCACAGGTAAGATACAAACTATTCCATCAGCCCCAATGAAAATTGTCATGCTACACCTTTAGAGCTATATCCTCCCTGTAGTCCTGATTCCTGCCAACTACTGACTGTCCTCTATTGCACTTTTATCATTTCAAGAATGCTATATAAAAAGAACATATAGTTTGTAAATTTTTGAGATTATATTTCTTTTACTCACATAATGCCTTTGAGATTCAAGCTATTTTATGAGTCAATAGTCTTTTTTTTTCCTGTGAGTTTTCCACAGTTTATATATCTATTAACTTGTTGAAGAACAATTGGATTATTTCTAATAATTTTGGCTGTTAGAAATGAAGCTACCACCCAGCTGGTGTGGCTCAGTAGTTGAGCATTGACCTATGCACCAAGAGGTTACCAGCTCGATTCTGGTCAGAGCACATGCCTGGGTTGTGGGCTGGATTCCCAGCAGGGAGCATGCAGGAGGCAGCTGATCATTGGTAATGTTTATGTTTCTCTATCATTGATGTTTCTATTTCTCCCTCTCCCTTCCTCTCTCTCTAAAAATTAAATTTTAAAAACATATTTTAAAAAATGAAGCTTTCAAAATGTGGTATTTACATATATTGGAATAATTCAGTCTTAAAAAGGAAGGAAGGAAAATTCTGCCCTAACTGGTTTGGCTCAGTGGATAGAGCATAGGCCTGCAGACTGAAGGGTCTTGGGTTCGATTCCGGTCAAGGGCATGTACCTTGGTTGCAGGCACATCCCCAGTATGGTGTGTGCAGGAGGTGGCTGATCAATGTTTCTCTCTCATTGATGTTTCTAACTCTCTATCCTTCTACCTTCCTCTCTGTAGAAAATCAATAAAATATATTTTTTAAAAAGGAAGAAAATTCTGATATATGCTGCAGCATGGATAAACCCTGAAGTCATTATGCTAAGTGAAATAAGCCAGTCACAAAAGAGCAAGTATCATATGATTCCACTAATATAAGGTTACTGAGGGTTGGGTGTGGGGAGTGGAAATTATTGTTCAATGAGTATGGACTTTTGGTCAGGGATGATGAAAAAGTTTTGGAGATGATTAGTGGTGATGGTTGCACAATAATGTAAATGTACTTCATGCTGCTGAATTATCACCTAATAATGGTCACAATGGCAAATATGACGTTATGTGTATTTTACCACAATAAATAATAGACGGCAATTTGAAGGATGATTTGTGCAGCATTAAGGCAAATAGCTGCTGAACTTTGTGCCAGAAACCCTGGGCAATGCTAGGAGTTTAGTGCAGTCCCAAGAAGAGTTGTTTATTAATCTGAGGTTGAAGGCCAGGCCAGCCTGTCCATCTCAGTTCACAAGGCTGGTTGGGCCCTGCAGTTGCCCAGTCCAGCCTCCTTCCTTACCCTGAGTCATCTGCCAGAGCCCTGACTGGAAGGCCAGCTTCCTCACCTTTACATCCCTGCTCTGCACAAGCCCCAGTAAGTCCTTTCTGCTGAATGGATCTATGGTCCTGGATCTGTCTAGGGACTTGACTTGACCTTGGAGGCCTACGGGCAGGTTTCTGAGGGGTGAAGGTGGGGAGATGGCCAGCAGAAGTCATTCTTTATTTGGTTTTGCCGGGCACCTGTGGCTTTCTGGATTTACCTGACCATTTGCAGAAATGACACTGCCTTCTTTTCCAAAGAAAGCCATAAAGAAATAGAACCACGAAGCTAGTATGTTGAGGTTTCCTGGGAAATGACAGTTTTGAAAGAGAGCATTGAAGGAGAGATGAAATGCTAAGATTAAGAAATAGGAAGGGGAGTCGAGGGAGGTGGTAATTGCCAGTGTTTTTTTTATCCACAGAACCAGGGAAATTTCCTCCAGGAACTAGAGAGGAATCTGGCACCCTGCTAGGGACAAGGCAGTGAGACATTTCCAAAATGCTACCCCTGGTAAGTCTCTCTTGCAGCAGGAAATAAACTTCCCAAGGAAGCAAACGCAAGTCAATTCTGGGTTAGTGACTAGCAGTGACTATTCCTCTCTGGATCACCAGCCTACAGTTTAGTGCCTGCCATTAAGTCAGTGTCGGTTAACTGGCCCTGAAGGGCAATGATCTGCCTAGATATGAGGATGGGATGCAGGTGGCAGATGGGCCCCAAATGGGAGAAGTGGGTTGAACGGGGGCTCCTACAGATTCCTGGGTCTCCATTCACTTCCACCCCATAAGCCAATAGGCATGAGTGTGCTGGAAGTGGGTCTCCGAAAGGATATGGGGAGCATATGCACAGCCTTCTAGTGGTAAAACCAGAGGCCTGGGCCATTTGGGACCCCCTTCTAGGGACATCACTGCATGTTATTCCTGCCCATGTTCAAGTACTCATCACACAATATCCGAAGGAAGATTAGCTTTTCCACATCCCCAGTCTGGAGGCAGCAATGGGTGGGCCATCCATCTCTACATCATCTCTGCCCAGGACAGGTTATAGGACCGAGGGAATGTTTGGTACATGCATGTTGATTAACTGAACACGATGAGATAATCTTCTTTGACTTTCCCCACACCAAGGTGAAGACCATGGCTCTGTTTCCATCGCTCTCTCTCCTTCTTCTGAGTGTGGTGACAACATCTTATTCAGAAATAGAACCCGGTGAGCACGTTCAAAAGACCTGTCCTGTGATCACCTGTGCTTCTCCAGGCATCAACGGCTTGCCAGGCAGAGATGGGCGTGATGGCCCCAAGGGAGAAAAAGGAGAACCAGGTAGAGCTTGGGCCATTCTTGCTCTGTGAATCTTTACCTGCCAGACAAAACTGCCTGGAGATGTAAGAGCAATGTCCAATCCATATAGGTCGTATTTCTCTCAACTACATATTATAGTTCAAAACAAATACAGCTCTGACTCTGGCATCCCAGGCTTCCACACAGGAGTTGGTGACATGTGGTTGTCCTGCTTGCTCAGGGAGTGGCCCTTCATGGCAGGCCATCCCGAGGGACCTGGGAAGATTTTCCTCTCTGGGTCAGTGGAAGCAGTGATTTAGAAAGCTGGTCCTGGATTGATGTCTCTGCTCTCCTGGGAAAAGATTAAGCATCAAGCTCTTGGAGAAACAGAGCAAACACAGAGACACTAATTTATGTTTGCTTCTTCCCATAGGCCAAGGGCTCAGAGGCATTCAAGGTCCCCCTGGAAAGTTGGGGCCTCAAGGAAACCCAGGACTCCCTGGCCTACCAGGAAGTGTGGGCCAAAAAGGAGACCCTGGAAAATGCCCAGGTAAGAAGCTAACCTCAACCAGGTCTAGGCTGACAGCCTAGTCCCAGGGTCCTGGGATTTTGAGTACCAATTGGGAGATGCCACTTCGGCTGCTTCATGGAAAGATGCCCAACTCTGCTTCCTGACCCAGCACACTGAGCCCTTGCTGAGAGCCTAAGGGGATTGCTGAGTTCAGACCCTCCAGAGCCACTCCTTCACCGGGCACTCCCTGAAGGAGCTGGGCCCTGGCTTTCCTTTAGCTGCCACAATGTGAGGCTCTGGTCCGAAAGGGAGAAAGTAGACCACATATGTGTTGGACTTATTCTGTCTATTTTCACAACAGCAGTCTACACATGGTATGTCCGTTATCTTTTACTTCATGAGAAACAAACAAAAAACACAAACATTTATTTAAATCACAATTCTGTGCATCTGCCAAATGCTTTTTCTGCTGATCTCAGTGCCTGTGGTCGAGTGATGACCAATGGTCTCACTTATATGTCTGCCTGTTGTTTAGTTGTCAGCTGGAGTGATGAGGGCAATTGACCCACAGGTCTTTCATCTTCCAACAATCTAGCCCCGCTTGTTCACATAGAGGTGATTACAAAATACCCAATAGCAGAAAGAGTAGAAGCTTTAAGGCCTTCTGAAGGCTTAGATCGCGTACATTATTGCTTCTGTCACATTCTATTGTCAAAGCAAGTCACAGGCCCACCCAGGTTCAAGGAATGGGGAAACAGACTCCATTTCTTAAACAGACAAGCAGTACCATATGGAGGCCATTTTTGCCATCTCTGACACACAGCCTGCCTCATGCCCTCCCCCCCTTAAATAATGTGCAATTCTCAAAAATCTTGGTTTACTGAACAAACTCCAAGAAAAAACAAAAACAAAACAATAAAAGCAATAAAAACAAAACCTCCGTAAAGACAAAAACCTGTCATCTTTTTAGATTCGCCAGCACATAATAATTCCCAAGAGATTTACTTTTTATTCACTATGGAGCTGTTTATTTGGAAAAAAAAATAGTGACTAGCTTGGCGTTTGGAGTGCTATCATGCTAGGTCATGAGGGAGTGCATGTGTGTTCATGTATGTGTGCATGTGCATAAAGTGTTTAAATACCTTCAATAGATGATGAGTGATGTTTTGGGCTGGATGGCAATACAGATACTTTTACTTCATTTCTTCTTAATATTTTTATTTTCCTTCAAAAAGCAAATATTAATGTATAAGAAAATTATTTTTTTAATTTGGAAAAAAATACCCTGGCCAGTTATAGCTCTGAAATCCCTTCGCAACAATGTTCTTTCTCTTTGTTTACGTTTTCTAGGGTGTGATGATCGCCTGGCTGCTTTAGAAAGAGAAGCTCTGCGCTCAGAATTGGATCGTGTCAAAAAATGTAAGCCTTGTCTCTCACGTTTCAGGTAGTTTCCAGTTTAGGAAGGTGCAAGGTATTTGTTAAATACATATAATTTTCTAGTACCGCATAAGCGTTCCTCACGGTCTGATCTCGTGAAATCCTTCCAAACTTTTAGTAGAAATGGAGGCCAAGAGAAATCGGACAACTTGCTCAAAGGCACAGAGCTAGTAAGTGTCGGAGGTAGTTTACAAATTGAAGCCAGTCTGACTCCAGAGACACCCCCAACCCCCACCCTGTACTTTCTACTATCAGCGTGTGTAGGTGTCACTGAAAGTGGGACCTAAGCTTCTTTCTCTTTGTTATTCGTTGTTGAGACCTGACAGTGGGGCCTAACCTGCTCCTTTTGTGCCCTGCTGGCCTGAAGCAAATATTCGCAGACATGTTTCTTTCTTCTCAAGTGAACACTGGTGTAAAATACAGAATCACCAATTACCTTTGTTCTAGAACCCTTATCCGAGAGGACAAAGGCCCTTGTTCCAGGCTGTTTTCAGATTAGGTTTGCCAGGTTTAACAAATGAAAGAACAGGACAGCTACTTAAATTTGAATTTCAGGTAAACAATAACTAATATTTTTCAGGATAAGTATGTTCTCAACATTTTGTGGGGAGATACTTATAATAAAAAGAAACTTTATTGTTCATCTGAAATTCAAATTTAACTGGACATACTGTATTTCATATGGCAATTCTCCTCTAAAAGCCTTTATCCAGAAAAATGCCTTAAAGACACGCCAGTGTCACCCCCATTTTTCCTATTTCAGGGCTGGCCTTTGCTCTGGGCAAACAAGTTGGAAGGAAGTTCTTCTTGACCAATGGTGAAAAGATGACCTTTGACAGAGTGAAGGCGCTGTGCACCCATTTCCAGGCCTCCGTGGCCACCCCAATGAATGCTGAAGAGAACAAGGCCATCTTGCATATAACAGAAGGAGATGCCTTCCTGGGCATCACAGATGAGGAGAGAGAAGGTCATTTTGTGGATCTGACAGGAAGGCCTGTGACTTACCAAAACTGGTATGATAATGAGCCCAACAATGCTGGCTCTGGGGAACACTGTGTGATGATCCGGACTGATGGCAAATGGAATGACATCGACTGCACAGCCTCCCTTTTGGCAGTTTGCGAGTTCTCTGTCTGAGGGAGCCCATCCCTCAGGCCCTTCTGTCCCTGGACCTCATCTCAGGCCCACAGTCTGCTTTGAAAGATAAAACGATGCCAATGTCCCCATGCCCAGGACTGATGGTACCCTTTGTGGGGAATCGGAGAAAATAAGAATGGACTGAAGGATGGGATTTGGAAGTGAGAAGAAACTGACAGGGGTACAGTGAGAGTTTCTGATTCAAACTCAATCACTAATAACAACAACAAAATTGTAACAGTAATAGTAAATAGCAGCTGCAATAGAAGTACTGATATTTTTAATGTGTGCTATGAATCAGACCCTATATTATGCATTTTATATTGAGTGGTGTTAACTTGCTTAGGTATACAAATAAAATACCTTACTATAAACACCTGTGACCTGTTGAGTGTCCCTTTCTCTTTGGGTAGAGGGCTCCATTAATGACATCCCCAACTTAACTCCATAGCCTTTTGGCTAGTTTCAGGTATTAAGAGGATCTATTTTTGTTGCTTTTTTCTGAACTATATTTTCTTTTCTTTTTCATGAGATATTAAACTATGTAAAGAATATAAATTTCAAGTTAACTAATAAATAAATTCTACTAAATCAAGATACAGGGCATTTCTAGCATCCTAGGTGCACCTTCATAACCTCTCCTAGTTGATTTTCACAAGGTAAATACTATGCTGACCTCTATTACCATACATTAATTTAATCTATTTATGAACTTTACCAATATCTTACTAATTATTATCTACTTATGGAACCATACACACATACATGCATACATACTAGTACATACATACAAACTTTTATGTTTCGCTTTTTTTATTCAGAATTAGGTCTGTAAAATTCATTCATGCTGTTACATTATAGCAATAGATCTTTCATTTTCATTGCCACCTAGGGTTCCACTATAAGAATATCCCTCAGTTTATCCATTCTATTTTTAATAGATTGTTGGACTGCTTCCAATTTCCAATTTTTTACCATTAAGAAAACTCACAAAAATTTTTATAGTTGTCTTTTGATAGACATATGCACTAATTTCTCTTGGTTATCTAATGAGGAGTAGAACTGGTGGGTCGTGAGGTTAAGTATGTGTTTAGCTTTAGTAGGTACCACCAGATTTCCAAAGTGATCAAATGAATTTACACTCTCACCGTGTGTAATGTGTGCCAGTTCAAGTTGCTCTACCTACTTGTAAATAATATTTTTAGTCCTTTTAATTTTGGTCATTCCTGTGGGTGTAAAATACCTCACAATGGCTTTACTCTCTGTTTCCATGACATGTGACAATGTTGAACACTTTTTCATAGACTTATTAGCTACTTGGACATCATTTGTGAAGTACTTATTCAAGTCTTCTATTTTGTTTAAATTAAGTAGCCAATATCTTTCTTATTGATTTGTAAGAGCATCTTATATGTGACTGAAATAGAGCAGTGAAGCTTTGAACTGTTAAAAAGAAAAAAAGAAACTAGTACATATTATGTCATATTAAAGTTTATGACACTTATTTGAGCAAATAATGACTTGAATTGGGCACCACAAAACCAAAAGCAGTTAGGACGACTCTGCTGACAGAAGCTAGGGTCCAGGTTTTCACAGAGAACATGTGGAAACAAAGCAGATAAATTATTGATTAGCTAGAGTTTAAGCAGTTTAGGTTTCGGTTTGCTAATGTAGGCTACCAAGTCATTACAGCCACCTCAGTCTAATGGCCTCCGTGCTTAATTAATTTATCAGTAGTAAGAAAATCTAAAAACAATTAGA